CTATTCTTACTAGCCTAACTAGTAGACCTCTAGGAGTAGAGAGTAAGGTTAGAAAGCAGAAAACTAAGCAAAGGCTTATTACTGTCTGTTGTGTTAGTAGCTGTTTTATTTAGGTTTTAGTGTTCTTGTAGATAAGATCTTTAATAAGATAAGATTTTTAGATAAGGATGGGTGGTCTGTGTGTTGAAAATTTGAAAATTTGAACAGGAGGGCGGCACTCTTGCACCAGGCAGCGCGAGGCAACCAGGCGCCTAGAGGCTCTAGGATTTTCAGGGTAGTATATCCCAGTTGAGTTGAGATGGGCGCAGGCAAGAAAAGAGATATCTGGACAATTTGTGTTTTGGTGTTCGTTGTGATCTCTTGTCTTGCTACATGTGCCACAGCGCCTTAAAGACTAAGTGCTCCTTTTAACACGTAACCTCTTCTTTGCCTTCTTCCTATCACTATAGGCCTTAAACTCCTTTAGAGTAGTTAGCTACACTCCCTTAGCAAAGGTTAGAGTCCCTTCTTGCTATACTTGCTTCCTTTTGTGTGATTTACAACGTGTAGCAGCTTTATTAGCTGCCTGTAGGTTAGCAACCTAGTTGCGCACTAAAACTAGTAAATACACTATTAGCTCTGCACCTTTAGTGAGCTAATTAAGAGCGTTAACTATAGACATTAGTAAGCTATTAGTATGTCTCTAAATCCTCTCTTAAATTAGCTTTAATTAAGACCTAAATTTTAGGGTGTTGCTTAGTGTTTTAGACTCCTACGTACTGTTGTCTATAGTAGGTGGTGTTAGTGTGCGCAGCTGTACTTTAAGCTTTAATTGCACAGCCTCTAGGTTAAGTAGGACTAGGCCTGCACCTCTAAATCCTCCCTAGATATTACTCTCTGTAATTAAGGCGTTAAAAGCTACTTTAAAGCACAGCAAGAACTCAAATTTAGTGATACGCGTAATCTTGCTGCGCATTAGCTGCTTAGCTTGGTGGCCATAGGCCTTCTTTAACAGAGAAAAACATCCTACGTCAAGTGGCTGTAGTAGGTGCAACAAGTGTGGAGGCATACACAGGGTAATAATCTTATGTTCCTTACAGTACTAGTGGAATTCAACTAAGTTGTGGCTCTTATAGCTATCTAGAATAAGCAGCTAATAGCTGCCAATAGTGCGCGCCTTTATGTGCTTATTAAAGTGCTTCAACTACTTAACTCTAAGCTTGTTATTAGTCTAGCTATTGTTAGAGACATTAAGAACCTAGTTATTAGGTATACTAGGTGTAACAACGCTCTACGAACAGTGACCCGATACCACTAGGATACGGTTCTAGCGACTCATGACCATGGCCCTTGTCGCATGGCATGAGCTCACACTAAACTGCCACCAAACCCTTATATATAAGGAGCAAGGAACTGTAGCATTGTAGAGTAGTTTTTCTGTATCCTTTTGTACAAGACCTATAGGTGTAGAGAATATATCCTGGTGTTCTTATCATCCCAGCACTCCCATATGCCTCGTAGCGGATTCACACCTATTCCGGATATCTCTCTTCTTGCCTGCGTCGTTACACTAGGCTCCTTATACTAGGCAGAGAGGTGGTGCTTGCTAGAGAAGATAATAAAGGGTAGGATAGACTAGCCCTTCGCGCAGATGCCTTAGATGATGCTGGTCCAGTCTTAGTCGCCCTGCTGCACTGCCTTTGGTCTCCCTTAACGCTCAGAGCCTGTAACAACAGCTCCTGTTAATATAACGCCTATTATAAAGCTAGATTTATTAAAGTTGTAGGTGCATCGGGAAAAGTTTTTCGAAATCCGGCCTAGACCGGCCGTTGCTGACAGTCGTGGCATGGTCGTGCAACGGCTGTTTAACGGCCCCAACGGCCCTAATTTGCGCCTAACAGCCCTAATTTCGCGCCAACGTTGCTAACAGCTAAAACGCTAAGTGCCTATATTTAATAAACTTAAAACAATGTTGCAACTTTGTTACATAGCTTCCCTTAGTGCTAGCACTAGCATTCAATATTTAAAAATTGTAAAATTTCACGTACAGATAGAGCGAAATTGTAGCTTTAAAATGAGCGAAAAATTATTGTTGTAGGCCTACTACAACGTGAGTTATAGAGCGTTGAAGGTTTGTTTGTTGAAGGTTAGTGTTTTGAAGTTGCGACAGCACACCATAGCAGCTGCAGCTGCGCCCGCACACAACGTAGCAGCTGCAACAGCATACAGCATAGCACCTGCTGACCACCACACACACACACACACACACACACAGCAGCAGCGCAACAGGAGCTTGCAGAACAGGCAGGCCTAGGCGTAAAATTCTTGGTTTACCTACTATTCTTGAATAATATTCTTATATTTTCTAACATTCAGGCTGCTAGAGCCCTAGCAAAGAATCTTAACTTAGTGTCTTGGCAAGGAACATTAAGCTTAAAACCTTCTACGCTTAATAACTATTTTATTACTAGGCCTATAATGTTGTTTAATAGTTTATTTTAAAGAGGAGACTTAGTAGTATATTAATATAATAAAAGTATAGTTTATTAAGCAGAGCTACTATTGTAGCAGGATTAGGAGTTGTCGTGGCTATTGCAGCTGTTAGGACTGTTAGAGCTGTTGGCTTAAAATTAGCTAGACATTAAATACACATTGAATGACTGTTGTAGGCCTACAAGTCCTACTGTTGCCCACAGTACAATGCCACAATTTCCTGATTTCGACAACGGAAAAACTTTTCCTGATGTGTCTTTATCTTATATACTATTGTGGAAGCTGATTGGTCTCTGATCGTTGATCAAGTGTGAAGAAAGTGATCAAGTTCCTTGTTCTATCTACGGTGCTGAATGAGCAGAATATATACACCAATGCTCATCCAGCTATACCCTAATTGGAGCCCTAATCACGGCTCCAAGCTATACCTGATTCCGCTCACCATGGCGTGATAGATCGCCAGTGTCTGATCGGTCCAATATCCAGATTCGGATCACGTGATATGCGCCCTCACCTCGATCCTTGCTGCGACAACTATACTTAGCTTTAGTATTCTCTACTAGTTAGAACTAGTCCCTAATCACCTTAGGATCCTTACACAGAGCTCTCTTATAGTTGTACTTGTAATTAAATTTAACTTTAAGCTCTAGCTAACGTTTAACAAAGTTGGCAGCCTAGTTCTTGCTAACGTAGGGCTAGTGGCGCTCAGCAAGCAGAGAATTGGCCATATCCTCTACATCAGCAAGCTGGGGCGAGTATCCTCGCTTGTCTAGCCTCAACACGTGCTAGACAATTACCTCCTCTTTGTTCTTTGTAAGATTTATAGTATTAGGTGTGTAGTCGCAGCGTGGGGTGGCTCTAGTAAGTCAGTCACTAAGCGTGCTTTGAGAGACGTTGTAGATTGCTGCAGCGTGTTGCTGAGAGAGCGTCGCGTCTTGTTAGATAGCCTGGAGAGCAAGCTGTATGTCTGCTTCATTAGAGAGCTTTTTCATGTTGCTGCGTTAAGGCATTGTTAGTAGAGTGAAGTTTGGTGTGGTCTTGGCAAAAGTGACTGGTACACTTGGGTGACCGGCATGCTTGTGGAGTACGTTATATAATATATAAAAAATAGAAAGCTCTAAATATAGCTATAGATATACACAAACACCTTAACACCTACTACTTAGCTAACATATTCCATCATCGAGAGGATCAACTCATCGAGTGGATCAGTTTCTGCCAAGCCTACTCACTCCCTCATTAACGCGATATGTCTTAACAACAAAACACGCAATTATTTAACTAAGAAGGCAGAATTCAGTTTGCCCTTTCTACCTATAATAACCACAAATTTCAAAGCCTCTAGCGCGCTGCTAAGGCGTTCAGCGTGCCTCCTACAACATTAACTTGCTAATACTACGGAACTACGCATCGTCTAGAAACTCGCAATGGCCGCCATAAGCTTACTGCTACTAAACAGCAAATGATTGTCTAATATATACTCAACCTTGACTTGCGAGGATTCGCGCCCTGGCTGTGCGAGGTGGCAGATATAGCTGATAAACTGCTAGCTGAACGCAGTAGTGAGCTAGTTAGCAAGCGCTGGGCGGAGCGATTTGTAGCGCGCTCACCTGAGCTTAAAACGGCCTTCAATTAAGCCAAGGATAGGCAGAGGATACTGCAGGAGGATACTGCGCTTATTAGCGCGTGGTTTAAGCTAGTAGAGGAGACTAAAGCTAAGTATAGCGTCCATTATAATAAGATACATAACTTTAAGAAGACTAGCTTCTAGATAACGTGGTTTATCACCAAGCCGCCAGGTATCACCAAACCGCCACCCCTCACCAACTTTTTTAGAGTTACTAACTATTACACAACTATTACGCTTAACCATAACACTGCACTAATACTTATAATTGCTACAATTACTCTTTAGAAGCAGCGCTATTATCTGCATCTAATATTTCTGCAGTGCAGGTGCGCAAATTGTAGCCAGTCTTGCTGCAACGTCCGCAGTGCCTCTCTTTGCGCACCTTCTTCCTAGACTGTTTAGATGCCTCACTACCACCACTATCCTTCTTAGCTATTATATCCTGTACCTTACCAACTGTGAGAGCCTCCTCTGTCTAGATATACTTTCTTTTGCAACCATGCTGCGCTGTTAGAGCCTTAATAGCCTTCTTTATGCTATCTATTTCCCTTCTCTGCAACACGTTAGCATGGTCTATCCACACAACCCCTCTAGCAAGCAAGTTAAGTAATTTTATAATAGGAGACAGGGGCGATCTCTATGCAATTGCATGCGCTCACAGATATACAACGTTTGTGACTTAACCTCCTTTGCGCTGGTTGGTGTTTTAGATTCCTATAGGGTAGTCTCTAGTAGTGGTGGTGTTAGCGTGCGAAGGACCACATCAAGCTTTAATAGCACTCGCTCTAGGTTAAAAGGAACTAGTCCTGCGCCTCTAAAGCCTCTGTAGATATTGTCTTTTATAATAGCCTTATAATAGGCTGTCTAGAAGCTAGTAAGGAAGAACTCTTTCTTAATTTATGTCTTTAAGTATTATAACTAACGTGAGTGTATAGCGAGTCGGACAGCTAAGCGAGTCGGACACCCTAACAAGCTATTAGGCCTACTATCTGCAATTGCTTAACACCACAACGCAGCAGTGCAATCTATAGTAGATAATATTAATTGCTAATGTCTACTATGTCTTTCTTACACGTGCGCAAATTGTGCCCAGTCTCTCTACAGCGCCTACAGTGCCCTTTACCCCTCTTGCCTGCACCTGTTTAAACTCTACCCTTACAACTCTCCCCTTCAACCTGCGCCTCAACGTCGCGTTGGGCTATTAAGTCCTCTGCCTCTTCCTTTGACAGATCTCCGCCCTTCTGAATACGCTTTCTTTTCCGTGATTTGCGCTCAGAGGCTGCTTTATTTGACGCTTCAAGCTGCAGCACTTGGGCTGCCAATAACGTCTGCCCATGCAGCAGCATTGCCGTGCCTCTCTGCAGCTGATCAACGATCTTAACCATTGGAGTTGGTGACAATCCTTGGTGCTTTTGAATACGATCGCGAAGCAGCGTTAATTAAGCCTCTATCTCACCAGCGTTGGTGGGTGTCTTAGGGTTCTATTGGGGCTCCCCTAAGAGAGGCGGCGTTGGCGTGCGAACCTTAACATCAAGCTTTGATAGTACCACTAATAGGTTACTAGGCACTAAGCTAGTTGCTCTAAAGCTTGACAGGATATTTGCCTTTGAAAACGCCTTGTCAAACACCTTTGCAAAGGTTGCAAGAAAGGCTTTCTTGTTAATCTGGCCAATATAGTCTAGTGCCAAGACTCTGATCTCTTTGCTGTACGCCCGCTTTAAGGGGGCAAAACAACCCACATCAAGTGGCTGTAGGATGTGAGATGAGTGCGGAGGCATACACAGGGTAATTATCTTATTCTCCTCGCAGAGATTCTGGAAGGCAAGCGACTTGTGGCTCTCATGGCCGTCAATTATCAGCAGCACGTGGCTACCCACCCTCCAGCCCTGAATCTGCTCAACAAAGTGCCTTAGCCAGGCTACACCAATGTCGTTCATAGTCCAGCTGTTGTTACTAACCCTAATGCGCTATTAGGGCTTTAAATCAGGGTACTAAGACGCGTTGTGGTTCTTTGCTTTGAAGATAAGGTAGGGCGTAATTGCCCAGCCCATCGCGTTGATTGCAGCAATCAACGTCACCCACTCACGGTCTCCCTGCTGGACCCCAATAGGATCTGTGCGTCTCTCTGATGCAGTGACTACTTTAACGTGATTTCTAATGCCTATAGTAAAGCTAGTCTTGTTAAAGTTATAGGTATCTTCGTCCTGGATGCTATACTTAGCCTTAACGTTCTGTACTAGGTTGAACTAGGGTCTAATAACCCCTTAGTCGCTGCAAAGGACTCTCTAGCGATCCCTCTATTAACTTATACGCGATTAGAGTCTAGGTTCGCGTTTAACAAAGTTTGAAGCCCATCGCGGACCAACAGGTCCTGCGTCACGTGCAGCGCGCAGTTGGTTAGCCATAGCTTCAACCCAATAGAGCGTTGGGGCATGCCCTTGCTCGTCAAGCTTCCTAATATACTGCGCAAGCGTCTGCTCTTCTGTCTTAGTCAGAGCTGATGATTTAGGGTGGGTATCGCGTGTTGACTGCTTCCTGGCGCGTCGGTCTTGGAGAGTTGATTTTGGCACTTTGTAGACGTCAGCAGCGCGTCGCACGCTGAGATTTTAGGGTTTCTTTGTTGCTTAGAGTGCAAGCTTAACCCTATCTTCTTTTAGGAGCAATTCAAGGTTGGGTGGTTAATCTATTGTGGTTTAAAGGTTGGTAGGCTTAACAGCTTGTTAGGGTGTCCGACTCGCTTAGCTGTCCGACTCGCTATACACTCACGTTAGGCGTTAACCTTAATTAAGTACGCCCTCTTTAAGGGGCTAAAATAGGCTATATTAAGTAGCTGCAACAGGTGCAACAAGTGTGGGGGCATACACAAGGTAATAATCTTGTGTTCTGCGCAGTATTCCTTAAACTCTGCAGAGTTGTAGCTCTTATAGCTATTAATAATAAGTAGATAGTAGGTGCTAATAGTACACTCTTTTGTAGACACATTAAAGTGCTTTAACTACTCTAGACTAAGCTTGTTTATTGTCTAGCTATTCTTACTAGTTGCAATTACCTAATTGCAAGGCAGATTAGGGTACTAGGTTGTAATTAGGACCTTGCCTTAGAAGATAATAAAGGGTGGGATAGCCTAGCCAGCAGCACAGACACTAATAATAATTGTGACCTACTCCTAATTGCTAGGCTGGATATTCTTAGGGTTAGATCACTTCTCTAAGCCTGTAAATACTATCTTAGACCTAATTATGCCTATTATAAACCTAGTCTTATTAAAGTTGTAGGTATCTCTATCTAGGATTCTGTACTTCTCCTTTGTATTCCTAACTAGCTTAAACTAGGGCGTTATAACGCGTGTATCTTTATTTAGGGCTTATTAATAATTGTACAGTTAGCTACATTAAAGCTTAATTTGTTAGGTACATGTGTTAAACCTGTTTACCTAGAGCTTACTAACAGGTCCTTCACCACGTGCAGTAAGCAGATTATTAGCTATATCTTGCACCATAGTCTTTGTTGCGCCTATTCCTTGCCTGTCCAGCTTAAGTATATAGTTAACTATTAACTCCTCTTCTACCTTTGTTAGCTTCTTTAAATTAGCCTTATAATTGTGTTGTGTAAGCCCTCCTGCGCGTTAGTCTCTTAATGTTAATTAGGGAACACTAAAGGCCTTAGACACGTGATTTATACTGTCAGGCACAGTAGCTTTTGTAGCTTAGATAGCAAGGTATAGTGTACCTTTATTATAGGGTGATTGCGTGTTGTGTTGTAATGGCATTGTAATAATTATTGTAACAGTCGCAAAATTGGCGAGGGGTGGCGGTTCGGTGATACCTGGCGGCTTGGTGATTAACCACGTTAGGTGTTATTAGCTTAATAAAGGTTTTCACAGGTTTAGAGAGACGTGCTCAACCTGCTCTTATTTAGCCTAGCAATTGTGAGTGGGTTACAGTAATCTAGGGTGTCTACGCTGCTAGGTACGCGATCCTACCCTTCATCATCTACAAGGGACGCGTCCACATCTCGGCCTAGTACAAGGAGGCTTTAATACTACGCAATTAGAAGCTCTTAGTCTCTAAGAATAGCTAGACTAATAACGCACTTAGTCTAGAGTATTTAAAGCACTTTAATGCGAATACAAAGATGCGCTAGGTAGGGGTATACTAACTGCTTATTTTAGACGGCCATGAGAGCCACCTTAACTAGGATTTTAAGGACTACTGCCTTGAGCGCAAGATGCTAACCCTCTGCATGCCTCCCTATTCGTCGCACATCCTCCAGCTGCTTGATATAGTCTGCTTCTCGCCACTGAAGCGCAAGTACTCACAGCATGTTAGAGACTTAGCACGCCGACGCGTCTTCCATATTAACAAGGAAGGCTTCCTCCCTGCCTTTAAGGACGCGTTTTTTAACGTGTTTACAAAGGAGAACTGTTAAAAGGCCTTTAAGGCAGCAGGGCTAGTCCCTATCAACGCGCAGGTTGTGTTAGATTGCCTTAAAGTGTGGCTGCGTACCCCACTACTAGTCCCTCTCCTAGAAACACTGTGGCAGTTAAAGACTCTAAGCAATAACGTACTCCACAAGCGAGTGGCTCACACAAGCGAGTGGCTCACTTTTGCCAAGACCACACCAAACTTCACTCTACCTACAATGCCTCAACGTAACAACACAATTAAACCCTTAAAGGAAGCAGGAATACAGCTTACTCTTCAGGCTATCTATTAAGACGCAACACTCTCTCAGCGACGCGCTGCAGCCATCTACAACGTGTCTTAAAGGACACTTAGTTACTAACTTGCTAAAACCTCTCTATAACGCGATTGCAAGCCTAATATAATTAAGATAACTAGCACTAAAGAGGAGGTAATTGTCTAGCACGTGTTAAGCCTGGACAAGCAAGGATTCTCACCCTAACTTACTAATGTAGAGGACTTAGCCAATTCTCTGCTTGCTAAGCGCTACTAGACCCCTATTAGCAAGAACTAGGCTGCTAACTTTGTTGAACGCTAGCTAGAGCTTAAAGCTAAGTTTAATTGCAAGTATAACTACAAGAGAGCGCTGTGTGAGGATCCTAAGGTGATTAGGGACTAGTTCTAGCTTGTAGAGAATACTAAAGCTAAGTATAGTATCCTAGATAAAGACACCTACAACTTTAATAAATCTAGCTTTATAATAGGTGTTATATCTACTAGTGCTGTTGTTACAGGCTCTGAGCGTTGAGGGAGACTAAAGACAGTGCAGCAGGGCAACCAAGAGTGGACTAGCATTATCTAAGGCATCTGCGCAAAGGGCTGGTCTATCCCACCCTTTATTAACCTCTCTAGCAAGCACCACCTCTTAGCCTAGTACAAGGAGCCTAGTATACCTAATAACCTAGCTATTAGTGTCTCTAACAATAGCTAGACTAATAATAAGCTTAGAGCTAAGTAGTTAAAGCACTTTAATAAGCACACAAAGGCGCGTACTATTAGTAGCTACTAACTGCTTATTCTAGATAGCTACAAGAGCCACAGCTTAGTTAAATTCTACTAGTACTGTGAGGAGCACAAGATTATTACTCTGTGTATGCCCCCACACTTATCCTATCTGCTACCGCCGCTTAACGTGGGTTGTTTCTCTCTATTAAAGAAGGCCTATGGCCGCCAAGCTAAGTAGCTGATGCAGAGCAAGATTACTCGCATTACTAAACTTAAGTTCTTGCTGTGCTTTAAAGCTGCTTTTAATGCTTTAATTACTAAGAGCAATATCTAGGGAGGATTTAAAGGCGCTAGCCTAGTCCTGTTTAACCTAGAGGCTGTAATATTAAAGCTTAAAGTACAGCTACACACGCTAATGCCACCTATTATAGACAACAGCATATAGGAGTCTAAGACACTAAGCAATACCCTAGAATTTAGGTCTTAATTAAAGCTAATTTAAGGGAGGATCTAGAGATATGCTAATAGCTTACTAATATTAATATTTAACACCCTTAATTAGCTTACTAAAGGCGCAGAGCTAATAGCGCATTTACTAGTTTTAGTACGTAACTAGGTTGCTAACCTTTAGGTAGCTAATAAGGCTGCTACACGCTGTAAATTATACAAAAGAAAGTAAGTAGAGCAAGATAGGGTATTAACCTTTGCAAAGGGAGTGTAGCTAACTACTCTAAAGGAGTTTAAGGCCTATAGTAATAGGAAGAAGGCAAAGAAGAGAGGAGGCGCTAATAGCAGCACTTAGTTATTAAGACACTATAGCATGTGTGGCAAGGTAGGGCACAACAGGACAATGTGTAAGAAAGATGTGCAAAGTACTATAGATTAGTGCAATATACTGTGTAGTACATAATATTTTTGTTGTGTGCTGTAATGTTGTAAAGTAGTTGTAGTGTTGGTGTAGTCTTGGCAAAAGTGAGCCACTCGCTTGTGTGAGCCACTCGCTTGTGGAGTACGTTACCTATAAGTTTAGATCTTAGTTTAAGCTTGTTTGCGATTCCTTTACTTAGTTGCCTATTACAGCCTAGGCTGGTTTCTCCTAGCTTATAAAAGGTGGCAAGCTAATGTTGCATAAAAATGCGCTTTAATGTGCTTAGATCTATAAGCTTGAAGAGTGTAAAGAAAGTAGGGGAAGGAATAGACTACTTTCTTCCTAGTCTAGAAGGACCTAGACAAATCTAGACTAGCTTTGTCTAAATAGGAAGCGTATAGCCTAATAGAGGTAAGGTAGGGTTATGTAATATAATAGATAAGTTATTATATTAGATACTAGGTAGAGATTCCTAGGCTAGGTACAGAGCGAACAGAGGGGGGAGAGCTAGAGGTATTTATGCTTCCTCTCCTCTGTTTGTATTTCTAAGCAGAACGTTCTAGACTCCTCTAGGTGGGTCTACTGCATCTATGCTTAGTATTGCTGTATATGCAAGCAAGATTACGTAGGTGCATGCGTAATCGTATACGTCAGCATCTTACAGAGTAGGCTACTCTATTTGTAAGCAGAGGGTCTAGAACATTTCTAGTTACTAAAAATAGAGAACAGCATATCTTAAGAACGAGAGGAGATACAGGCTTCGTAAGCACACCATTCTAATCCTCTCTTCTTAGAGATTACAATAGCAATGCTTAGGTAAGCATAGCGCTATACCTAAGAGGGAAATACGCTAGATAAAGATTATAAGAACAAAGTCTTATAACTTTACAAAGAGCAACTAGCAGAGATGACTAAGCAAAAATCGCGTAAGCGCAAGCAGATTTAGCAGGGTAGCACTATAGAGTATAGGACTGCTGCAGCGCAGGTAGCCGCTGAGGCGTCTACAGCGCCTTAGCGATCTAAAAGGGCTCGTGGTGGTGGTGATCAAGAACTAGCCTAACCAGCTCTACAACGCTGTAAGAACTGCAGTAGGACTAGGCATAACGCGCGCACGTGCGAAAAAGATATAGAGATATCTTCTAAATTAGATACAAGCACAATGTGTATAGGCTCCTTGTTTAATAGCAATAAAGCTAAAGATACCTAGCATGAGTTTAGGCTGCCAAGCTTTTTTGATCCACTCGATGATGGAATACGTTATAGAAACTACAAAGAAGTAAGAAAGAAAATAAAAAGCAGCCTGCAGGAGACAAGACTAATAATGCGTCTTCTCCTAGACACAAATAGGGGAATCTAAGCTATACTAGCTTTTATTTAAGAGACTAGAGTAAGAACACGCAAGTAGTATCTACAGCAGTTAACAGACAACTAATTTCCTTTATGTATAAGTAGAGCACAGGCTCTTACTATACGTTTTGGAATCTACATGTATTATTCCCTTACACAGAAAAACTAGTAAATAACCAGAGCAGCCTAACTGCTCTTGTCCTATATAGTCTTAGACTCATACAGGACGTTAAACTAATCAATCAATCAATCAATATAATAATAGAGTATATATCAACACAAAGTAAAAGTAGGTTTATATTACCTACTACTATTTCCTTTTTACTCTGCCCTGTCTATATACGCTCTGTTTCGCACGCGAGTTACAGATATAGGACTATCTGTCTATAAGGAGGGCGGTAGTGTAATAACACTCTATAAACAGTGACCTAACACTACTAGGATATAGTTCTAGCAACTTATAACTATAATGTATTTCACAGGCGAGCGCCGCACACGGGCGAGCGCCGCACCCCACCAAACTTGCGCACCTCTCTCATCTCAACGTACAATGGCTCAACGCAGCGCTACTCTATTAGCTTCAAATGAAGCAGACGTTCAGCTTGCTATCTCCTCTATCAGTTCCCATCAAATACAGAGCAATCGCAGGGCTGCTACTATCTTTAGCGTGTCTGAACGAACAATCCGCCGCCGACGCGCTGGTATACCTGCCCGACGTGATTGCCAGCCCAACTCAAAGAAGCTCACTGAGCCAGAGGAGCAGGTGATTATCCGCCATATATTGGATCTAGACCAACGTGGATTTGCGCCTACGTACGCAGCTGTACGTGATATGGCTGATAAGCTGCTCGCTGCGCGCGGCGGAGGACGCGTAGGAGTTAACTGGCCATCTACCTTTGTCAAGCGTACAGACAGTCTCACGACGCGTTTCAATCGAGCGTACGATAGACAGAGAGCTCTATGCGAGGATCCAGCCCTGATTAGTTAGTGGTTTGAGCTTGTAGAGCAGACAAAGGCTAGGTATGGCATCTGTGATGATGACGTCTACAACTTCGACGAGGCAGGCTTTATGATATGCAAGATTACGACTTAGCTTGTTGTGACAGGGTTAGAGAGGAGAGGTCGGCCAAAGGCTATTCAGCCAGGCAATCGCGAGTGGGTGACGTTGATCGCTGCGATCAACGCTGCTGGCTGATCAGTACCACCGTTCCTCATCTTCGCTGGCCAGTATCATCTATCTGCCTGGTACGAGGAAGCAGAGATCCCACGCGACTGGGTGATCACAGTCAGCGAAAATGGCTGGACAAATAACAAGCTAGGAGTAGAGTGGCTAAAGCACTTCAACGCTTATACAAAGACTCGCGTTGTTGGTGCGCGTCGCCTGCTTGTCCTTGATGGCCATGAGAGCCACCACTCTCTTGAGTTTCAAGAGCTCTGCAAGGAGAACAATATCTACACACTCTGCATGCCGCCTCACTCATCTCATCTACTTCAGCCTCTTGATATTGGCTGCTTCTCGCCGTTGAAGCGCGCGTACAGCTGTGAGGTTGAGAGCCTGATCCGCCACCACATCAACCACATCACTAAGCTTGAGTTTCTGCCAGCGTTTAAGGC